GCTTCTTCTTTCCTATCAAACATCTATCGTCCTTATCTCCCCTTCTTTTTTATGTTTGTTACTCTCTTGTAACACCTCTAATCTTCTGGCGCTCATATGATCTTATGCAGTTGCGAACGCCGTAAAACCTCTACTAAAACTAAAACTTACTCCTACTATCTACTGTTTCTGTTGTTCTTCTTCATGACGACATGTAGCCTATTGTGATCACTGGTGCTGTATAATTCCGCGTTGTAACTTTTAGTAGCGTTTGGTCTTGGCCATCCTGGATTCGTTTTCTTGATATTTCATGAGAATACATTGTGCATATATTGTGAATCACCGTTGAATCGACTTCCTTTGTTTTTACTTCATGTACGTGTTTTCATTTTGTGTACATAGAGCTCTTTTCACTTCAAAGGAGTTGGGGGTTTGTTTTAGTGAGTAGCTGGAGGGCGTCACCGGTTGGCTCAACACTTTCCCTTTCTTCTATTGTTTTTGTCTGCATATATATCGCACTAAATGGCTTCAATCGATATGCTTCTCTTAACTTTAAAAAAGACGTTTTACCGTAGACTGATATTCATTTCGCCTTTGGGGTTTTTTCCTGTTTTACCGATGGACTGATATTCATATCGCCTTTTTTCTCTCGAATGTTTCAGAGTCTCAGCTATCCTCGGGGGTTTCGCCTCCTATTCCAAGCTTACCTCGAGCAATGACGACGACTGGGTGGACCGTCTGAACCACCTGTACACCGTCATCCTCCTGGCCATCTTCGCCGTGTTCATCAGCGGCGGTCAGTATGTGGGCAACCCGATCGAGTGCTGGTGCCCGGCACACTTCACGGGCTCCTTCACGGCGTACACCAAGAGCTACTGCTGGGTGAAGAACACATACTACATCCCCATGGACACGCCCATTCCTGTGGACAGAGATAACCGCAACAGCGAGGAGCTCACCTACTACCAGTGGGTGCCCATCATCCTGCTGTTCATGGCTTTCATGTTCAAGTTCCCGGCTCTTCTCTGGAGGATGTTCAACGGCGGCTCGGGCATCAACATGGACAAGATTGTCACCATGACGGCCGGCACTCAGATCGGCGCTTCGGAGAAGAGGGAGGAGACGGTAGGACACATCGCCAAGTACATGGACCGCTGGCTGGAGGCTCACCGACAATACCGGTACAACGCTCTTGTGCGCATGCGCCAGAAGGCGTCTCGCGTCATGTGCTTCCTTTGCTCCAAACGCGACGGCACTTACCTGACCGGTCTGTACATCTTTGTGAAGGTGCTCTACGTCGTCAACGTCATCATCCAGTTTTTCCTGCTCAACGGCTTCATGGGCGACTGGTATAACCTGTACGGCTTCGAGGTGCTGGACGGCCTGGCTAACGACCGCTACTGGCGCGACTCTCCACGTTTCCCCAAGGTCACGCTCTGTGATTTCGAGATCCGACAACTGCAGAACATCCAGACCCACACGGTACAGTGCGTCCTGCCCATCAACCTGTTCAACGAGAAGATCTTCATTTTCCTCTGGTTCTGGTTCGTCTTCGTTGCCGTGTGCACCTGCGGAAATTTCCTCTTCTGGATCTGGCGCGCACTCTTCCTGCGCAACCGCGTGGCGTACGTCAAGAAGTACCTGAAGATCCTGGACGAGATCCGCAGCGAGGAAGAGAAGAAGCTGGTGCGCAAGTTCGCCGACCAGTATCTCCGTGACGACGGCGTCTTCATCCTGCGCATCATCGCTCGCAACACCAGCGACATCCTGCTGTCTGACATCGTGCGCAAGCTGTGGGGCATCTACAAGGACAAGCCGCTCATCAAGAAGAGCCTGGATGCTGAGAACGAGAACTACGGACCGGACTCACAGGCTTAACTTTTTTATTTTTTCAAATAAGTTCTCACCCCATTCAAAGAGGACTTGTTTTTATTTTTTATTTGCAGTCTTTGGGAAGTAATTTCTTCCCCTTTACAGATGAGTTGACAGTCTTGGTCACTTCCACGGCTTTTTTTTCTCTCCTTCAGAAAGTAGGATCCAGCTTTGTATTGTTTTTCTACTTTTCTTAACCATTAGTTGTTGTTTTTTTGGTGGAGACTCGTATTAACCAGCGGACATAACTATACAATGTAAATGTTTAGCAGGATACTGTTAAATGTTTGGCTTAGCTTTTAACAGGCAAGTTAGAATAGTATTTCTTGGGGGGGGGGGGAGACTAAAATGATGTTTTTTGTTTTAAAAAATCGTTTTTATTATGAGTAAACGTTTCATACTACTTGCCTGATGCCTGTCACAAAAATTAAGTTTGGGTCACCGGAAATTGCGTAGTTATGACAGTTTCAGCCTCCTGGTTATATTCAGCATTACTCTAAATGTTTTATTGTCTAAGATATTGCTTTATGTAGAGGTAGGTATTTCTAATCAGCTAGTTTTTGCCGTGGTCGTTGTTGGTTTTTAGTTTTATCGAACCACATTCTCTTTATGTCGTTTATTTTTAAAACATTTTTCTTTACTTTTCTTTCTTGACTAATGCCATGTGTTGGCGTAGGTGCTCTTTATGGTGTTGGACAGCAATCAAGGGGTTGCAGATTTGATATCTGAACAGAGTGGGCCCGGCACTGTGCCCTTGGGAAAGACACTTTACACTACACTTGTCCTCTCCCACACCGCTCCTCGTTCAAGGCGAACACCAGCTTCTGCTGGGTAGTAAACCTGTCACAAACTGCCTTTTTGACGTGGAGGTGATGCTGTATAATTCTTGAACGCGTCACAATCTGAGTTTGAATTGACATGGAGAAATATACATGAAGTATTTAGTATACTTGTCAGATGCTTCGCTATCTCTGTTGGTATCGAGCTCGACAGCGGTGCTATGGACCCGATTCAAGTCTCCAACGGGGTCTCCATGTCCGCTGATAGTTCTGTGGGTTTTGTAAAGGCTGTCCGCCCACTTACCTCTGTCATGTCAGAAATGGATACCAAAGTCAGGTGTCTTGCATAGATCTACAATAACTTTACAGTGTTGGGGGAGTCTCTTCACGCCAGAACCCACTGCTGAAATAAGCTCTGTAATTCTCAAATGAAACCTTACGTTTTCACAAAGTGGGAGTTACCGTAAATCTCTTCTCCACCTTACCCCTTTTTATGTCATTCTTTAAAAAAAAATAGTTTTAAAGGGTATTTTTTATTTTGATGTGGCGAGATCACCAATTTCCCACTACTCCACACTAGTGATCTTAAACATCGAAAGAATAAATTTAATACTTTTTTCCACTTTGTCATGTTGCAGATTTGAGGTCCATTCTGAAAGATGTTTAGAGTTGTAACCTACAAATGGGCGTTACTAGTTACTTTACTCTTGTATGAACAACGAAGTGAGTTCTGCCTTTGTCTCATTTTATGTACCTGTATTACTCGTCTTTGTGTCAGTGTTCCTTCCGTGCTTGAAGGGTGCGGTAAATTTCAACTGAAGGCGTTGCCACTCTTTTACTAGTCTTTTCGCCCACCGTGGTGTCGTGGTCAGGTTTTGGTCTTTTTTTGTGTATGCAAAAGACATAGAAGTTCGATGCCCTCGTGGCGGATATTTTTTTTTAATCGACTCTATGCATTTTTCTGTTTGGGTGTATCACCATATGGCCCGTGTTGGCCCTGTGTGGTGGGTCGAAGCAAATCGTCTTCGTACACTTCTCCAAAATTATATCGAGATACGAAAAGCTGCTGGGCTCGCAAATTGGAGTTTTGTAGCTATGTGACCATTGGGCGTGAGGTATTTCTACCGTCAAGGCAATCAAGGTTCTTGCTTTGCGATATTTCCTGGAGTCTCACCATACCGCAATGCCAGTGTTGACCGCGCTCGTCAAAAAAAGACTTGTTCCGTTTGTTTCATGCTACTGACGTAATAACAATTAGTTTGTATTTCAAGTCAATGTCTGGCAAAACGATTTGCACGATTCATGTGGGTCTAGTCTAGGCTGAAACGGTAGAGACTTTCTTAGTAAATCACAGTTCTACACTCGTAAAATTATACTGGCATTTAAAAATATCTGTAGAGCGAAATTTCATGTCCCCCGCTACCTGGCTTGAAACTCGCTGGTAATTTTTGTAAGAAATTTCATATATATTGTCTTTACGAACGTCTTTCATCTCGATGAAAGAGCAACAATGAATCAAACGTCTTCCGAATACATGTACACATAAAACCTTTTTTCCATATATATATATATCATTATCGTGCTGTTTTGTGCATGTCAGTTTCTGTCAATGAGTTTTTCACGACCATCTCTTTGCATCATCTATTTTTTTTAACTTTCTTGAATTTCCCCCTTCTATTGTTGAAATCATTGTGCCTGCAGCGCATGTGCCTTTTTCATAGAAAGTATGTACTGTATTTATCGGCCAAGTGCCTTAAGATGTCATATTTTATGGTCAACAATCTATGCAAACTGTGAATTTTGGGTGATGTTTTACAATAAAAGAAAATACGCCTGTATTTTTATATTCATGTACTTTTAAGGCGTTGGAATGGGCCTGCCTGCAACATTGCATTTCATCTTTTTTTCCGAGGCACAACGAAATCAAAATTTTCACTAGTTTTTTTCCATACGTTGCACCGGCTAATGTACCATGAGTCTTCGCTGAGACAGAATTTTGTATCAGGTTTTAGTGATTGAGAATGTACGTATCGTGATTTATCATTACTATTTCCATGTTTCTTATTTTGGTTTACTTTTTTTTATTAACGAAAATAATGTACACCTGTTTTGTTTGTTTTGTTGTTGTTTTGTTTTGGGGTTGTTGTTTTTTTTTGGGGGGGGGTTCAGTTAGGATTTCATTTCTTCTTTTTTTCTGATTGAATTTGATGTAATATGGAAGAATGGTTTGGGGTTTTTTTTTGGTTGGGGGGGGGGGGGGTAATAATATACTTGTTATGGCTCTAGTCATTAAGTTTGGCAAGCTTCACCATTTTGTTTTATTTCCTTAGTCTTAGCCTGAGCTCGTCAAATGGTTATTACAAAACCATGATCTGGTTATGCAGTGGGTGGTTCCTTTTTAGACCCTTTGTTAATGTACTTATTTCTGTAGTTTTCGAGTTCACTTGTTAGTTTTATTGTTCTTCCCTGTCAACTTGTTCCATTTATGACAACATGCCAGTAATTTACCTATACAAGCATTCCTATGTAGAAGGCGTCATCGCCACTATATGCATGTAGTGGTTACGTCATTGAACGTGTGCCCCCAAGCAGCTTGTGGAAAAATTCCCTTTTGTTGCTGTATGGCTCGCACACATCTGACGTATAAGCACTTCCGCTAATGTCATGTACAAATTCCAGCGATGTTCATTATCCCTCGCTTCAGTCTCCCTTAGTCTCATAGCAAAAATCATTCCATGATTAATTTTGTCAGAGCCTCTGCAATGATTCTGAGTTTCTTTTGTATTTTTGCGTGTGTGTGCGTTAATATGTTATCGCCATCTCTGTATTTCCTTACTCGCGGTCTTTTTAAAAGATTCCCAAACGAACCTTAATCAAAGATGACAATGGGATGAATTCGATGTTTGCAGTTGAAGCTAAGCCAGACTTCGTTCTTTTCTTTTAGATTGTGTCTTGTGTGTGTGTGTGTGTGTGTGTGTGTGTGTGTGTGTGTGTGTGTGTGTGTGTGTGTGTGTGTGTGTGTGTGAGCGAAAGTGAAAAGACTGGTGTTGTTGCGTGTCCACTTTTACCGTTTCCCTTTTTCCTTTCCGAGAACAATAATATATTATTATGCACATGATGTACATGTTGAACTGTCGCGCATGGAGCGTAGTTACTTAATTAATCAAATTTGTTTTATATGTTGTCATGCACAATGTGTGGTAGAAGAGAATAAAAGTTGATGGCGCACATACCGTCGAATCGTTTTGATTTCCTTCTATACATAAAACAAAACCCTCTTTTTCATAAAATGACTGTAAATACGTTATATTATATTCTTTCTTCTTTCGGAAATTGACACTTGATTTATTTCATTTCTTGTTCTTTTAGATACATTGTAATACTACTCCTGGGCTGCGTGATTCTGGCTCTCTCTCACAATGGGGAACAAATTTCACCCTCATTTGTCACTCTGCGCAAACTTATATAAATGATATATTATTCAGTTGTGTGTCACTGTTCGGTCTTGGCGATAAACATATCTTTTTGTTTGATGGGATGTCCGGCGGTACTGTGTGAGCGCCCGCGGGTTTGTATGATTGTTCTATTTGGCCTTGAATGAAAGTGTGTCCCATTAGAGGTGAGGGTAAGATCGTGTATGGTTAGAGTTTAGATACATCGCTTTAGTTTTCATTAAGTTTTTTCGTGTGACGCATTTGGTACATATGAAAGCATCGTTTGTTTTGTTGTTCTTTTAGGCAATTGCTTCAAGAGATATATCAGCAAATGGAATGAAACGTATGTTCATTATCTCTATCATCTATCAATCATGTGGAATGGTATAAAGTATAAAGTGGAGTGTGCACTTGTCTGGTTCTTCCAAATTTGTGTAAATGGTGACTATGGCCCTTCCAAACAGATTAAAAAAAATTAGATTATCTCTGGTTCGACTACGTTGGTCCAATTTTGCCGAAAGTAGACTACATGTACATGAAATTTAATTTTTCGGGGCCATGTCGCAAGCGATTTCCGTCGTCTGGTACGTATGCCGCTGTCGGAAAGTAACCCAACAGATTTCAGTACTGAGTAATGGAAGGTTTAGTTAAGATGGTTGTCTTACATTGACTCAACTGTTTGGACAAGTGGACACTCCATCTTAAGTTGTTTTTTCATCTGTGGAGTGACGGGAGTTGTTCTCGTGGGAAGTTACGAACTGATGAAGAATAATTGTTTGTAATGCTGCTGTCT